AAAATGGCGTTTGTCGCAATGACGGTCGGCGGTTTTTCGCCGTGACGCGACGGGACGTCAAAAGCTTCGCGCCGACGGAACGACCGGGCATCGGTAAGACCGCTCTTGGATGCTTCCGGGAAGCTGTGCCGGCGTTTCGCGTACGCTGTGTAACGATTATCGTCTACCAACATCGTACATTAGTCTTTAAGTAAGGAACGACTAACGTGTTGAATGTGAGGAATGGCAAATGGGATCGACGTACGATTGCCGACTAAAGGTGCGATTCCTTAGGACGCGTCTGTAGACGCACGACTGACGCGACTGACGTGGCGCGATTTGAATTTTTGCGACGCGACTGAGTAGGTATTCCGTACAACTATAAAACGCAGTCGCAAGAGACGCGCGGCAGGTATATAATCTACACTGTTATCATAAAACATTTTAAATTATATAGGTAAATCAAATAAACGGTATCAAATGAACAAGTCGACGATAATCGTCATAATCGGTCGCGCGTCTTGTGCGTTTTGACCGCCTACCAAGCGGTCGTCAGTCGCGCAATTAGAGACGTAACAGACGCGCGTCGGTGTTGGGAATAGGTTTCATTTAAAAATAGGAAAAACAGTTAAAATTAGAGTCTTTTAATTAAGCTAAATTAGCTTAGCCGCATCGGTCGTCTATAGACGCGCTCTAAGGAATCGCACCTTTAGGTTTTTCGGCGGTGTGCGTCAGGATGACGACCGACCCGAGGCAGTGAGTAGTGTGGAACCCATCTAAGCGAGTGCTTCAACAACGTCGGAGGACCTATCGTCGTTAACTACATCCACGAACTTTACCTATACCCTATAGTTGTATCGTAAATACGAGTATAATGCAATATATATTATATGTTTAATAAATTCTAAATTTAGAAGTTATACGTAGTTTTCAGTGTTTTATATGAGGTGACCCTGTTCCGTAGTACAAGTATTACACACCGAGGTCGAGTGCCCGAGACTTCGTAAAAATAAACATAATTCCAAAGGTTCGGAACACCAACACGAACTGCATTAAAGTGGGGACGTTACGACTCCCCGCGGCCGAACGGCCCCGGGAAAACGTATCGCCCAGTGGCCCTCGGACCCGAAAAGCGGCGTCCGGGTGAGAGTGTCATGCGAGCGACGACGGCGATGTCCAAAGTCGTTCGAATCGAGCACGTCCCTAGTTGTAACACGAACGGCGGATACAACGTCGAAAACGCGTACCAAATCGACCGTGCCCGCTCGAGTCGAATGAAAAACGAACGAGCCGCGAGGATCTCGACGATCGACGATTACGATAACTGTGTAGCGACACACCCGGGTTGGTTCCAGAGCCTTGGTTAGGGGGGGAGGAGGCAAGTCATAATTTCACAAAATCTTATAACAAAAAGAAAACAACAATTTTTACAACTCAAATTCAAGTCGTCAATTTTTAAAATTGGCAAAAATATCAATAATACGATCTATTTGATCTAGAATATCTACTTTATGATATACATTAATTAGACATAATGCTGATAGTCTTCAGTCATCCTTGAACGAAGCCAGGTTTTTAGTCTCCGAAATGTGGAGAAATTCCTTTCAACCGTCATACCTCTATGGCTCCATCTACATACTTGTGCGTGTCGTATGGTAGTTCATATTATAATATGCATTTTTTGTTAACAATATATATTTTTTTATAAATACGGTAAGGGTTTGGGGGGGGGGCGGCCCCTAGCTCCCCCTGGTTCCGCCCTTGTGACACACCGCGGCGGTACGAATGAAACCGTTGAACGCACGAGATTGATCACGCGCGATTTCCCTTATCCGGCGGATCCGGTGGACAAGAATCGTTTTGTTTTTTTTCCTCCAAACCGCAATTTTGTCGGTGCGCATTATGGCACCGAGCCCGTTCCGTCTGGTACTCGTTTCGCAACGCGTTAAGCATACGATGTGTGATATTACCAACAAATCGTGGGCTATAAATACGTGTAACTACAAGTATGGAGTGCGAGATATAAATCGCTTTTACGGGAAAAAAAAAATGTCCACGCAGACGCGGATGAACTTGTACACCTGGGACATTGAGTGCACATTGAGTCTTATAACGTGCGATGTCGCTTTAAATTAAATTCACAACTTTCCTTCCGCGACTGCTGAGTGTAAATGCTATCACCGTATTTTCGTCAATTTCTCGATAAATTGTATTATTACAAGCCGTTTCGCTTTTGACACCGAAAATAACAAAATTTTGAAAGATAAATATAATCATTTTAAATACACGTAAAAGTTAAAAACTGATAGATTTATCATTAATAATTTTATGCCATACATATAAAAAAAAAAAAAAATAACAATCAATATTTGTCTCAGTTTAACAGTGGTTTTGAGAATGTCATCTTGTACTTAGAAATTGTAAAGGAGAACGATGTTTTTCGGTTTCTAAATGAATAAAATGCTGTTTTAGGTCTTCAGTTACATCAACCTTAGATTATTTCGATATATATTGAGCACAGTCCTAAACACTTAAACATATTTGTACGATATAAAAAATAATATAATAAAATAAATAAATTATAAGCGCTGGAAAATTAATTTTTACAAGAAATGAAAAACAAATAATATTATGAAATTAATATTATTGACATACATGAAACCAATGACTTCAGGTTACGATGTTTTGACGTCTATAACAACAATAAATTAATCTAAAATTTTCGTCACGTGCAAACGGCGACTGCTTATAGTTGTATACACCATGCTATTGTTTGAAATATATCTACATACAAATTAATTTTCACTTATATTTAAAATTAAAAAGAATTTAAGACTTCTGTATTTAATGATTTAATCTTAAAAACCCTATCAACACTTCTAGAGTAACTTAGAGTAAATTATCATATTTGCATACACGCTTTTGTGCTGGTAAACACGAAGGTATGTGCATTATTTAATGTAACTCAAAAACACTAATAAATAACAACATACTACGTTCTGCATAATACCTTATACAGAATATTTCGTGACAATTCACATTCATATATCGATAGAACAGTGAAAAAATAAATTATTTTTTATATTTGATAACATTAAACCTAACTTATATAACATTATGTCATAGACGTATACATTACTGTAACAAATTTTAAGTTAGCAGCAGTAAATGATGATCATATTCTTTTTGTAACAGATTTTTTTTTTTTTAAATTAGCTTTTGCAATGAGACTGTTTAAAAGTAAATTGTTTAAAAGCTCGATTAAAGGTTTTGTGCAGAATACATATATTTAACATTAGACGAAGATTCTTTTCTTTTTTTTTATTTACTATATTTTTTATTTACCAATTTTCTAAGTTAATGGTTTGGTATTTTAAAACTGTGAATAAATATACCAAGATGATGGTTTTGATTGCAATGTATTCGTTACGGTTTTCATAAAGGGTAAGACTTCTTTGAACTAAAGCGTTCATTATTCATCTAAAAAAAAAAAAAAAAGAGTCCGTATAGTCCGATCTTCATTCCCACAAGAATTATGATTTTTCTATACATTTGTGTTTTCGACTTCGACGACTATTCTTGACACGTAAAAATATCACCAACACTCTTTTTCCCATTCAATGAGTCACGATTCAGATATTTTAAAGTTTCGCGAGTACGCTACTCTCAATGAGCTCAAATATAATAACGCATATATTTTAACAATACCAACGGGGTTACACGTAAAATAATATTATTACAAAACCATCTAAAATATTATCGTTCGTTCCCGAATATTGCGTTTTGGTTGTCCGTATGAAACCGGATCGATTATACATAATTAATTGTCGATAGTTAATGACTCGATTTATTTTTCTCTAAGCCTTCATTACGAGCCAACATTATAAATATACGAAACAGTACACATCGTCCGCGGAACGGCGTTTTGAAGAGCATTAAACTTTAAATTAAACTTCAAATTGATTAGTGAAATATATGTACGTTATTAATCATAATAATGATCGATCGCTATAGAACGAGCGTTTTGTCGCGGTTGCACGTTTTACGTCGTATCGCAAATCGGTCAAAACGGTTAGCGTATCACCGTCGGGTGTCGTCACGACGAATCGATCGCGGCAAAACGATATCGCTGCACGACGGAGCTTATCGATTCGGAACTGCCGAGCGCAAACGTACGAACAACCAGTGGCGGTAAGTGGACTTCCCTTTCCTTGAGCCGAGTAAAAACTAAAAATATGATGAGCAAACGGTTTACTAAAAATCGTTTTGGCGATAATTTATTTCAAAACTGTTTACTGTTAACGAAAATGGTTGCTCCAATAAGTTTGACTGTTAATTGAGTTTGAATAAAAATAAATTTTTTTATCGATACATATATTTTCATGGTATGTCATTGTGGCGTACAGTTTATAGAACTTGAAATTACTTCTCGTGTACCAAGCAATAGGAAAAAATAAATGGGATATGCACGCAAATCGTAAGTATGCGCAAGATATTTTCGTCGTCCCCGACCTGACCTGGCTTCTCAAAAACCGCCACTGCGAACAACTTTGACAAAGAAATGACTTGGCAACAGTCGAACTCACAGGTATGAACATTTATCCGGACACGGTCATCGTTACGATGTTAAAGAGAAATCTTTTAACGAGTTACGATCGTGTTTGACGATCGAGGAAAAATATAAAAATCGTAAAAATCTAAAAATTAAAAATAAAAAAAAAGAATAAATAAAAAATTAAAAATATATAAATCCGCGATGACGCGCGGTCGGGACGTTGCGCAGCGCGAAAATTATCTTAGGGGAGGGGAAGTCTTGCGGTCTCGAGCTCCGAACGTTATCGCGCGATAATAATATTATGTTGTTATTATTGTCGCCGCCGCCGCCGCCGCCGAAATAACAACGACGGTGGCGTCGGCGTGCGCGCGGGGTACGCGAGGGCCATGCGCCGGAACGTTCGTCGGTCGCGTCCTGCGCGCGCGACCGGCACAGTCACGTGCGCGTACCGTCACCCCGAAGGATGCGGTGTCCTGCCGTCGTCGCCGCCGCCGAACCGTACTCGCCGTTGACCACCACCGCCGCCGCCGCCGCCACCGCCGCCACCACCACCGCCGCGTCGTCATCAGTCGCGGCTCGCCGTGGTCCGCGGTCGCCGGCCGTCGCGCGCTCGTAGAACGCGACCGACACGCACGCGATCCGGCCACGCGGTCCCGTCCGGCCGCACGGTACCCGCATCCGTTCCCCGGCGTACACCGACGGACCACGTGACACGACCGTGTGCGAGCACACCGCACGCACGGGAAAGCTGATCGAGCGGCAGGTGAGCGAAAAACCGTGTTCAGATCGTTTCAGATCGGTCGTGCGAGCGCTGTACGCGATCATTTTGTTTTTGCTCGTTTTTTCTTTCCTCTTTCCCGCGGTAAACTTTTTTCGGTAGTCATCCGTTGGATTTCGGCAAGCTGACGAAACAGAAAATAAGGATCGTCGCGCGTACAAGCCGACGAGGACGGGTCTGAGTTCACGGTAAAAAATAGTCTCCGTAGAAACTTTGAACGTGTATGTGCATTTAGAACATTTGTAGAACGTCGTCGTCACCCTTACGTATACGTGTCCGAGCGGTATTTTCAGTTACTTTTCGGTTAAACGTTCGAAATAATGATTTTCAAAATAAGTTCAAAAATCCAATTCGACTACCATTCGTAACGTGTTCTATGACAGTCTCATGTAGTTATCAAACGCATATATTTGCTATACGAATTTGATTAAATACGTTGTATTATGATGTTCAATTATAATCAAGCCGTTGGTTACCGATAAAATTAATTGGAATCAACCATCAGAAAACAGAATTGAAAATCATTAAGAAGTGACAATACAGAATGCGAAGAGGTCGACAAAATGATCCAAAGTGCCAATCTGAACGCCTGTAATATCTTTATTAAATCATTTTTTGAAAGTATTGATTAATATCAAAGGGTAAAGAAACGCAATACTCAAGTAGTAAAAAATTTAAATTATTTGCTTTTCTTCTGTGGGAACCCCCCCCCCCCTCTCCCTTCCTCTCCGGCATCTAATTGTATTATCGAACAAGGCATTGCGAATTGTAATCGTATTATATACACTTTATTATACTAATTATTTATTATTATTGTTTACTCTACAGACCCCAAAATTCACGAATAAGAAAAGCCAACCAAGAAATGAGCAGGATTAAAATACCTCTGAATAATACTAATTCTCTGAACATCACATATGAACAGGATCTGAAATATTAAAACACTCTAATGAATTACTAGAGAACAGCCCTAGAAAATAAAATAATAATCACGAATCCACTTCGTAAATTGTAGAAATATAAGGCAAAATAAAAATGTTTGAATAAAGTTTTTTGTACGGTTTTAGTTTTTTGCATAATACTATTTAAAAATATGACTCTTATGATGAGTTTGGAATCCTGTAATTATTTATGCAATTAGACATGATCAGTTTGAAATGTAAGTTAACGTAAACATCCATACTTGTTGGTGAACATTTGATGGATATTATTAGTTTAGTTTATACATGAAAAAGGAATATTTAAACTAAAATTATGGTTATTGATACATAAAAATTTGTTGTTTTTAAAAAAAAAACCACTTCAAAGGTAATAAGAAAGTAGGATTATTTTCCCATTTATAAAAATTCCCGTGATACCGATATAAATCTGTAATTGAAAATGAATATTACATTATTACATATAATTTCGACATAAATATACACATGCTATTATTATTATTATTTTATTTATTTTCGCAGGAGGATGTTATGTTAGTAAATAACTATATCAGATTGATAACACGTTTTCTTTATATTTGAGAAAAATGTTGTTATCTTTTCAATTTCGAGAATGATCAAAAGAACTATTATTTTTTGATACTGCAATAAAACGTTTTCGAACCTATTATTATGTAGTCTTATTCGTATTAAACAACGAATTAATTATAAGAATTTCAATAAAATGAAACGAAAATCTTTAAAAGAAATTATAAACTAAATTTGGTTCAAAACATAATAAATGAAAATAATATACTTTTATTTAATAATCGATTAAAAAATTGTTTAAATAACTCACTATGAAGTGTTTATTAAATTATATTAAATGTAGAATAAACAATTCATTTTCAAACTAATTTAACACTCAAATGATGTAAATTTTTTATGAATGAGTACTTATATACGTGTATATAATATGTAAAGACCATTCAAAATATTAAAATAATTTGTCATTCTCATTATATTATGATTATTTTGGTAATAGATAAGGTACCTATTGCATGTATTACGAAGTTACTTAGTTTCATTTTTTGACAAGTGATCTATATATAAGTATACAAATTATCGTTTCTATCAATCCAAATGTACTAAAATAATATTTTACTACACATTTTTTCATTGCATACAATTTTCCTTCTCTAATTAAAATTTAATGATCTGAATAATATAAAATATAATAAAACATGTAAATTTAATGAGATGATAACAACATTATGTAATAAGTGTCAATGATAGCTGAATTATGTGTGTATCATTAATAAAATATAATGAACGTAACTTGCCATTAAAACGGTCTAAATTAAATAATACTGTCATCTAAAATTTGTAAGTATCTAAACTTTGTAAATTAAATTCAAAAAGACAATGATGTTTTATAATTTTATAATAAACACAGACACGTACTCTAGGAATAACCTATAAGGTAAAATGCATTATTCAACTTTGTTTTCTATATTATTAGAAAACTATAAAATGTCACTGTAATTTTTTATGACACAGCTTAATATGATGGGTTTGGTTTTTTTTTTCAGCGTTGAAAAAAAATATTTTCGACAAAGCGAAATTGCAGAATTAAACGGGAAGAAAAATATTCTTAGTTTTTACGTATATAGATAGATATCATTCAAGTAATTACTATAATCGAATACCTTATTCTCATATAAAATGTTTACGCTATTTTTGAGCTTCTCTGCGTTCCAATTTAACTACGAGTAGATGTTTTTAATTATATAATTCCGTTGAGATTCTTTATGGTACATTTCTAACATCTCTATCATCTCTTAACAGTTGATCCGTTTATGTAACCCTATTTAACTGCAGTGATCAGCCACAAGAAATTTATGAATAAAACCTATTTTATCCGTATAAAATTACAAAATCTGTGATCAAGTTCAAATTCACGTAATACTAATTTATAACATGTACGCTATGAATAATACGCATCTCTGGTTGAAAAATTCCTGGAAATACTCAATACGTACATTGAATTACTTGCATATAATGTTGGTTTCGATTTTTGTCATATATACTAACTACATAATGAATATTTGGTATACGCGAAGATTATACTAAACCGTGTGTAGTAATGCATTTATATATTGAACATCAAGTGTCTAAACATGAAGTATTAGTGATTTACGAGGTGGTTTATAAAAAAGTTTAATTAATCGACATAATTTGATTTCACTATAGTAAGTATTGGCTTTTAAGTTCTGATTTTTGAAATACGGTATAAACAATTACTTATTGAATACAATTTGGGTTGATAAAAACTCTTGTAACATCTTGAAAATTATAAACAATTAATATTGTTCAAAAATAATTAACGAGAATTGTTTTTTCTTGTATAACTATAAAAACGGCGATCTGAATAGGCAATCAAAAAGGCGATTTATCAAATAACATTTTATAACATTCATTTTTTTAGAAACATTCTAAAACGGTTTACATTATAATTTTAATACTTACAAGCTGTTTCAAAATATTTGAACTTTAAAGTTATATGAGTTATTTATAAATTATATAATGTAAGAATAAAAATAATTCTAACGACTGGCATTGCGTTATAAATAATTAAATACTTTTAATGAATTGTAAAAAAATGTAATTATGTTTTATACAAGAAATATCATTTTGTAAATAATGAAACATTTTACTGATTTGTGCGACAAATAAATATATCAAAACGTGTATTTAAATTGTATGGTCATATGTATTATCAATAAAACAATTTAACAACCTGTCGTGTTTAAAATTTGAAATCATAAATAATCAAAATAACTCAATACAGCCGTAGGTGATTAAAAACCAAAAATTTAATAGATATATTATTAAATATTTAATTAATGATACTAGTATTTATTTTTTAGAATGCATTAAAAGTATTAATATTAAACAGGTAGATAATAATTTATGTGAAGAGAAATTTGTGTTTAGAAATAGTTGGACAAGGAAGAATTTTATTCCATCACTAAATTCTATGGGCATTTTGTACACAATATTGTTGGGAAATAATAATAATATAGACATTTATGTTAATGATTTTGTTTAAATTATTTACGAATACTAAATATTTTTTCCCCTTTTAAGTATCGATATTTCATACTTCGAAGAACACTTTTCGGGTTTCGCCAATGGCTAGTTTTTTTATTCTTAAATTCCGAGCAAACATACTTTTGAATATTGAAGTACTTTACTCACTTTTTAAAGAAAACTGTTCAAAAATTTGTGGTCGAAGGGTGAATGCACTTATGTGGTTTGAATAAGTTTATTGACAAGATGGCCTCCTATTGGGATAGTAATGTATTTATGCTACCCAGTGTGCAATAGCGTCTGCAAATCTATAGTAAAACGTCAAATATAAGGTCTTTTAAAATATATATCAATTTCTGGTAAATCTTCTTTTGGATTTTATTTTAACTTTTATGATTCCAACTGTTATCAAAATGATGGTTACTTATACTTAATCTTGGTGTGTCTTACCATATTCTAATATATGGTAATAATATATAGCCTAAGAAACAAGAATCGGTTAAAAAAAGAGCATACTTTTGAAACAATTATTTAAACATTAATTTTAATTTTATCATCCATATCGATTTTGCTGAAATAGAACTTATCTACTTAAAATTCATCTTTACACATAAAATCATAAAAACATATAGTTAAACTTATACTATTATCTAGTTCAGTTAAAAACAAAGTGTTTATGTGAGTAATTATCTATTCAAACGGTTTCGAAAGCATATTGTTATTTTATTGCTTAAAATGAGATAGCATCCCGAAAATATATGTGTATTGATTCCTCAGTTACTCAATCAGTAGAGCAAAAACAAGGGAAAAATCAGGGTTACCTTAACTGTTAATTTTCGGTTCAGTTCCATAATTTGTTTTTTAATTTCATTTGTGATAAACTTTAAATCAAGCTATGTTCAACAAACGGTTTTAGATGTAACGTATAAATTAAATGGTTTTCCGAACATTTTACTAGAAAAACGTTAAAGTTGTTTATGTTTTTTGAAATATTCACAAAAAAAAAAACGTAAAAAAATTAAAAGTTATTGAATGATAGACTTAATAAACGTTGTTAAGTTATTCGTTCATGTACGTTTAATTAGAAGAACGTTTTGAAATATTACGTTTTTGAACATTTAATCAAAATAACTTATCGAAATAATACGTTCTTTTACATTTATTTAGAAGAGTTTTGAAATAATACGTTCTTGAACATTTAATCAGAAGAA